GGGGGATATATATATATATACACGGATGTAATCCGACCAACGTGCCGTAATGAAAGTTATTTTACATACGTACTATGATTTTTAGTGTATTACTAAAAGTATATAATGTAAAATATATATAGATATATAGTTATATAAAAAATAATGTAAATTGTATTTATGTAAACAAATACTAATATATATATATATATGAATAATTTCATCTACCAAATTCACTAAATCTATGAACTCTTTTCATTTAGCCCAAAATCAACCCACCAGATCCATTAATTAAAACCCAATTTTCATTAGATTCACCCAAAAATCTACTTAAACTACACTCTCTTTCAGCCCTAAATTTAGCCCAATCAAACACAACCCACCTATGAATGGGGTTTCTGCATAAAAGGGAAACAGAGCAAAGAAGGTACGGATATCAAAATAAAAATAAATAATTATAATTATATAATATTATATTAAATTTAAAATAATTATTTACTATGAATTAAACATATTTAATAAAGCGTGCCGCATAAATAAAGAAAAGAGAATAGAAATATAATTTTTATTTAAGAAAGTATAACAAAAATTAAATATATTTTATAAAATTATAATAAAAAAAATTATTAATTTACCAAATATTACCGTCAATGATTTTTAAAATTTATTATTTAAATATCATCTACTATAATTCCATCGAATTAAAAGTAAAAACAAATAAAATTTTATTATATTTCTAGAATAATATACATTAATTTAAACAAACAAAGTGTAAGAAAAAAGCAAGTGGTATGCTAGGTAGAAACGTCTTTTTCCTCGTAGTGCTACAAGTCGCGGGGTTGCGAGTAGAGAAGTAGAGAGTATTTGGGTTTCTGATTAAGTATTTACGCGGAAGGAGGTTCTCTATTGTTCTTCTTCTTCGTCATGTGACCTGAGACGCAGGAAGAGGGAACCAAGAGAGAGCTTGACGAAAGAGCTTGGTTTACGTTCTGTTTTTTAAAATAAAAAAAAATCAGAGAGCAGAGGAAGCAGATTTGTGTGTTTTACGCAGAGTTTTTGGGTGTTTCCTGCTTAATAAATTTGTTTTAGGTTTCAGGTTTCTCCTTTGAACGGCAATGGCGTCAGTTCTCTCAAGGAAGCAGAAAAAGAAAGATAAATACACACTGAAAGAACTCAAAAATCTCGGTCGTGAGCTTCTTTCTTCGCGGGCTCACATCAACAATCTCCCTCTTCTCCTTTCGTTCATATCCTCGTCTTCTCCTCCTCAGTATGTGCTTGAGTCACTTCTTTCTCTCCAGTCATTCTTCACTCCTCTCCTTCCTCTGCTTCCACTATCTTTGTCAAAACGTTCGCGGACTGAGCAAGACCCCTCGGAGAGGGAAGAGGATCCTGAAGTGATTTACAGGACATGGCTGAAGTCCAAGTTTGATGACTTTGTTAGGTCGTTGATCGATCTTTCGGTGTCTCGGGGATCTGACGACACATTAAGAGTGAGCTTTTCTAATACTTTGTACACACATATATTTAAGTTGGTTTGGGATTGTGGTTAAACTGTTTGTTAATGTTATTTATTGCCGTCTGGAAGCAAAATTGTTACGTCTATTTCTTTATTTTTGCTTTTGTAAGCTGGGAATTGTTTATGATGCTAGATACAAATGATAAACTTATGATATTCTTGGAATCTGTGTGCTCGTAAGGTAGCTATTAGGTCAGGTATCAGAAGATGGAATAATGCCAATATCTTCAAAATGTTTCATAAGTAGTAGTGTCTTGTTTACTCAAATTTTGTGATGAAAAGAAATCTAAAACCAATTACTTAGGATCCTTTTTCAACGTTTTGTTTCTGGATTTTTTTTATTAGGAAGTTGTTCTGGATGCCCTTATGGAACTCGCAAAGCGGGGAAGTGGGGGAAGATTTAATTCGGCTATATACCACAGATTTCTTCATACTTTTGTGAGTTCCCTTCAATATTTTGTAATTTATTATGGTTCTTACTTCCTGAATTCATTATATGATTTAATTGTTTCTTTGAGTCTCAAAACGTATTATTTTTTTGTTTGAGAGTTGGAATGATGCTGAGATTTATTGCTCCTAATGTACTCATTTGCAGGTTCACTCTACAGAACCTGCTAGTTTTCTGCTAGACTTGCTTGCATCTAAGTATTTCAAGTACATTGATGTCCGGTACTGTCATGCTCTGCTGTGATGATTCTCTATTCTGGTCTTCTGCCGCTATTACATTGCGTATTCTCCATGCTGTTCCTTACTAGGGAAAGAAATATTTGGCTATATTTATGGACATTTTTTTTTTCGGGTTTATGTAGTTATTTTACCTACGTCAGCATGGAAAAACTGGTTAAAGCTTTGGAAGCCAAAAACATCTCTGGTATTTTTTTAACCATTCTACACATCTATGTATACATATATATATGTATATATTTTCCATAATTTCTTCTTGTTTTTTTTTTATTTGCATTTTCTGATAGTTGATAAAGTTCTACGGGAAACTGCTGAAAATGGTCTTCACTCGGGAGAAAGGTTAGTGGATATACACAAATCTCATATTAGTTTTTTTCTTTTTTTTTAAAGAAAGAAAAAGAGCAGTTCATTAAATAGCAGAAATAAGGTGGAATTCAAATAGAAAGGAATTAAAAGATAAAACTAACAAGATACTCAAGATGTCAATGGTGTCCCATAGACCTTAAACCAAACTGAGCGGATGGACTTTAAACAAAATACCAAAAGGATTGGAATCAACCATTTTCGACTCTATGAAAAGAATGACAAACATCCTCAAAATCTTCTAATCCTTTCCTTCCACATCTCATATTTCTGGCCTCTCTTTACTATTAGTAGATGTCACTGGAGGTATAAAGTGGAAAGGGGTTATTTTTACTGGTCAGTGGGGCGTTTGGCTAGCACACAATTCTTGAATTTTTAGTAATGCACACTACTTTTAGCGAATTGTGGAGCAGGTCAGACTTTTTTGGTTTCCTTATGGGCCAAAGCACTGAAACACTACCCTAACATAAGCATACCAGACCTACACCACAACTGGGACGCCTTTATTTTCAGTTATTAGCTTGTTTTCATTTCTGTTCTCTCCCCTTGTGGAAAATTCTGGTTTTTATTTCATATACATATATATTTTGTAATTTTGAGGAGGATGTCTTATTTTCCAGAATTGTACTTTATCTCTTTCCTTTCTCAATATACTTCTTTTAGATAAGAAAAAAACTAGGGGTGTAAATAATGCTAAATAATACTTGTGCTTTGGGGACTACTGGTTTTCGTCGCTAAAGTAATATAACTTACTTTTTTAGGGTCATCGCCTAGTACCTCTCTGTTCTCGTATTGATAGCATAGTCTAGGTAGGAACTGTTCTGGTCCAGCATGAGGCATTTCAGTCACAGTAAACATGATATTGTCGTTTCTACTTTCTTGCAGCATGAAACATTCTATTCACATATACATGATATTTATCACGCATCCCGCTTTAGAAGCACTGATGAAAATC